TGCAGTGACACTGGCCTGACAAAATACATTACTCTAGAGAGAGGGGACATCGTCAGATTGACGGATAAGTGTATATGTGTTTACACCGGTTTCGACCTGGAATCAGGCCACGCTTTCTTAAACATTCTCCCGAAACCTGTTTTTGAACACACAAATGTACCAAATGCTTCCGGTGCGAAGGCGTTGGCTAATCCTAACGAATTTCGACGATCTACGAAAGCAACATTGGCATTATACCTCATATAGCTCTGCACACTCGCATTCCGATTGTGTTTGTGATCTGAGACGACCTGCGATAGATCTTGCTGATGTTTTATCCCTTCTTCGCAATGTTCTCATTTGATAGCTCTGCACACTCGCATTCCGATTGTGATCACATCAAAGTAACTGTGTTTGTGATCTGAGACGACCTGCGATTGATCTTGCTGATGCTTTAGCCGTTCCACGCAACGGTCTCATTTTTCTGCTAGCTTGGGCAACGTTCGCGCTACCTGGTGACGAAAAAACCTGGCTTATCATCACCGGATAGCAAACGAAGTTTAAATTTTGCGCACATTCACTCAGTCATGACCGTATGGTCTTAATAAGGGCTTAAGGAAAGGACACTATCGATAGCGGAATACGCCTCTAACCAATGGAGTAAACAAACGATGGCTCAATTTTTTATCACGCCTGTATAACCATGTGAAGACTAGCTGGCATTTTATAAGACCAGGTGGATGATATTGATTTTTTTATCAAGAATCATCAAGTGAAAGCATGTTCGCTCCAAAGGAGTAGCTAGGCAGACTGTTAAATGGATGATAAACACATTGCTCCATCCCATAAAAGTGGCTCCGGTGTGATGTTTTACTATGGACGAACCTAGTTTGTGGTTCGATTCGGCCTGCAACACTAATATAGTGTCAGCACGATTGTGTGCGCATAAACTAATTGTGTCGGTGCTTTGTTTGAACGGCGGTTAGGTTGCACACAATCCCAAGGATGAATATGGATGGCCTAGAAGTGCAATTTGCAAGTTATTGTGCTGAGAGAAGCTTCACGGTTAATATTAGCAAGCGATATGTTTATGAAAGTTGAAAAACCTCATCAGATCATGAAGCGTTCACGATATTGGTAGAGCGAGTTAGTGTTGGAATACATCCAAAGATATTTATCACCGTAAGTTAGGGCCCCTCATGAGGATGAGTACGGTACGTGTGCAGTTCCTCCTACCAAACTAGTCCTCCAATATCTGTACCACTCTTCTAGGGTGAATGAAGCTACGACAGTTAAGTGCTCCCATATTCCGTTTTCTAGTACTGTACCGATATCAAATACCCGCCGTTTATTGCACCCAAGTACCGTGGGCCTCAGGAAGGAAAAATATGAGCCCTGACTTGTTTTTTTTCTCGTTGGAAGTTGAAACTCGCTGTAATAAATCCGTCTAGTTTTCTGTGTCATAATGAAGAAACACAAGGGGTAAGGAAGTCGTCTGCATTGTCTTCCAATACACATGCTACACGCACGAACGGTCAAGGCGGAACAACAGAGTTATGTACTTCTGTCTATCCAAGGACAATCGAGATGCGGTAAGCAGACACCAACCCATTCCCAGAGCAATTAATCTAGGCCGAGATGATGTGATAATCTGAAAACCTCCTCAGTAAACAGACGATCATAATAGTTGTTAGAGAAGTACTAAATTAGGGAGAATGAGACCCAGTCCTGATTGTCAAGCGAAGATGAGGTCTATCGTGTCTTTCTTAATACATCCAGGTTGGATTTTTCAATCTTGTTAACCTTGTTCTCTCATCCACGCGAATACAATTCATGCGGTATTACCCTTGTAAGTCTCATAGCTCGTGTAGGTAAGCATAGTTCGTTTAATTTTACGGTGGCTATAACATTTAAATAGAACTGAGTGAAACTCTCGTTTAAATGGTAACGCGTTTCGTATTTCTATCAATGTGACTGTTTTTTTACTGCGTTTATCTGTCATTCAGATCTAGACGCGCTCATTGCAGGCAGGTTCTGCCCTTTACATGGAATACAGTAAATTCGAAAGTCATCAAACTTCTGACCAAAGTTAAGCTGACGCTAAGTATCTGGTTTCGATGGGTGGCATGAAACTGATGAACCACGGCTGTTTATTTCAAACATGGTAGAGGAGGAGGAGGTTTGGGGGCAAACAAAGTATTTGAATAGCGCTCGTGTCCGAAGTCTGGGTTGTACATCAACCTGGAACAGTTCAATTAAATGCTGCAACCTAATCAACGCTGTGTTATTTTGTTTCCGTACTTTTACACTGTCGATTCTTGATCAAAATAAATGGGAGTCTCACAACAATATGCAATTGATTTCTTTCTGGGGGAAAAACGATTCATACAAGCCTCAAGGCAACCCACCAGTGCCAGGAAGTTGACTAAAGCGAAAAAAATGAACGGCACTCATGCAAAGGTCAGTAAATTTCTGTGAGTGAAGTTATCTTTTGCTGTGTGTCTTGGAAACAGGATAATTGATACTTTAGACAATTAGCCAGATGCGACAGTGATGAACGGAAGAATTCACAAACTGACGCCATGACAGACAACACCTTGGTGCTAATCGGCGGCAATGTAAACGAGTAAATATTCAATGCCCACGACAGTAGCCAGTCTGAGTAATCATAATTACTTAAGGAATCACAACGAGTAGTAACATCTGTGTGGATACAAAAGCAACACATGGCTTTTTACATACATAGTAAACTACTGCTGAAAATTCTTTGACCTTAAGAATACTACCTTAAGAGTACTACCTTAAGTGTACTACGTATGTACATGTATCGCAATACCTTGAATATCGTACCAAATGAAACACGAGGTGGATGGGTGCAGCGCCTTCAGTTGCTTGAAAACATCATAAATGAAAGATTAACTGAGTTCCAGGTGAGTCTCCCACCAAATTTGACCCACCAGTGCCAGGAAGTTGACTAAAGCGAAAAAAATGAACGGCACTCATGCAAAGGTCAGTAAATTTCTGTGAGTGAAGTTATCTTTTGCTGTGTGTCTTGGAAACAGGATAATTGATACTTTAGACAATTAGCCAGATGCGACAGTGATGAACGGAAGAATTCACAAACTGACGCCATGACAGACAACACCTTGGTGCTAATCGGCGGCAATGTAAACGAGTAAATATTCAATGCCCACGACAGTAGCCAGTCTGAGTAATCATAATTACTTAAGGAATCACAACGAGTAGTAACATCTGTGTGGATACAAAAGCAACACATGGCTTTTTACATACATAGTAAACTACTGCTGAAAATTCTTTGACCTTAAGAATACTACCTTAAGAGTACTACCTTAAGTGTACTACGTATGTACATGTATCGCAATACCTTGAATATCGTACCAAATGAAACACGAGGTGGATGGGTGCAGCGCCTTCAGTTGCTTGAAAACATCATAAATGAAAGATTAACTGAGTTCCAGGTGAGTCTCCCGCGAAACCAAATTTGTGTGCAAATGAGTGTATTCCGCTAATAAAGCTTTCTGTTTATTGTGTTTTTACAGTTTCACTGGACCGCCTCTATCCAGTTCGTTTTATTGCTCGTTTTGAACCGAAGATACCTTTTCATGATAAATGTTTACCCAAAAATCAGGTATTGACTTGTGCTGCAATGTGATGCCTCAGTGCGGCGAACCTGAATGGCACTGATTTTCACTTTGTTTACCTTCCTGTACCGTAAACTACCTACAACATTACTCGTTCCACATTTATTGATTAGCCTGTTCGCATAGTGGTGCCACTGGTGATCGGTTCAAAGTACTTCAAATGACAATTTCAAGGCGCAGTTCAAACTCATAAGAAAGAAAAGGATCAGATATGTTGTAGAGTATGCCCAAACATAAGCGCTTGAGCTTTGTATGGAGGTTACGCGTGTGTAGCCGATACAGTGCTATTGGCCTGCAAGAAACTATGTGGATACATACGAAGAAGTACGGTGCTGTTCGCACTTTTGAGTCTCAAATACTATGTATACTTACATACTACAGTATCCCAAATATAGTTTTGAAAAGACCGGCAAATTCTGTTGTATCAGAGATTTTGTCCGGTAGACAGAGGAGAATATTCAACACACATCACCTCTGATTTCTTTCAAAAAATGCTGTCAATTCCCTAGCATACTTTTCCCTATTTATAAAACCATTTTAGTCAACATCAGACTCTAGTCTGTCAGTCTACCTCGTATCTTTGAGCACTGCAGTCTCCCTTCTAAATAGATCTTCGTTCAGACTATGAATCCAGTATTTTATAAGGAACAACACACACAAAAGTACTAGCTAACTGTTAGATGATATCTAATACTACAGATTATTATCACTTGTCATTACATTAGACATCTACCGTTACATAGATCAAGGCGTACAAGGTCCTACAAAGGTTTATCCTCTTCAGTCCAGGTCATGTTTTACAAACGTGAAATGGGCGTTGCCAAAGCAAAACTACTGATATATATTAAGTTATTGTTTGGATAAATTAATCGAATTCATCATACCGATGAATACTTGTGGGTAAAGGCATGCCGAAATGTACATGGGACGACCTATACTGGTCAAAAGGATGGGTTTAATGGACACTGCAGAACCGTATTCCGTGTGATGAATTTTCTTCAGGAGTGACCAGGTGTCGACATATTAGTTAAGCAATCTGTATTCCAAAACCTGGTTCTTCCGATTGGTTTTTAAGGGTTTGAAGCAAACTATTGCATAAACTGGAATAGGCCATATTTGCCCGAAAAAAATAGACTGCGGTTTACCGGGTAAGAGGAAAATCGCACGACTAATGGGAATTGTGAAAACATCTAACAGGAGTCGCTTTTCGGAACGCCGTTATAAAGAAGTACCTCTGTACTGCATGTTCATACCAGTATCATTTTTGAGTGATCACCCTGATGTAAGCGAAAAGCTCACAGAAATAGATACAAATTACGTAAAGAAAAAGTGAACGAAATAATTAAATTGAACACTCACCTCTATATCCGGACTGCCATGAGATAACTGGGGACAGGACATATTGATTGCTAAAATGAGCAAATATGTCAGTTATCAAAGAGAAAAGGTGTGTAACGAACGTTTATGAAAAAAACCCGGTGTACTCAGCTCAAATTCAGAATAACCTCACCTAACTGAGCATTTGCCTCACTTGAGCATTGAAAAATATCGAGCAAACCGTAAATTGGTACTAATATCTTTGGAAAAACTTTATTTGACGGGTAGCCAAACATAGGAAAAAGGTATCCTAATTAGGCAGCTTCATTAGTTTCACATCGAGAAAAATGATCAAATAGTACGAGCCAAAAGACAAAATAGTATAATATTCATGTCAAAGGGGCTAAAATAACAGTTTGTCAAAATGACATTTTGCGTCGAAAACAACGCTACTTCAAGGGAGAATTCAGCAACCTCAATTTTTGGAAGCAAAACCTGGGATATGCATACTCGCACCCTTCAACAATGTGTACTTTTCCTTTCCATAGTTTGATATTCAAGGGCTTTTTGTCATGAAACTCAGCCATCTTTTGATGACTCTGAATCTTGCAAACCGCTTGCAGAATCGTGTTGCATAATAATGGACAATTTTTCTGAACTCGGATTATCTCAGATGCGTATTATTATTCAAGGTATTCTTCCAACCCACGCTTTAACTCTCCCCACCATGAGCTTAGCGTCAAGATTACTTCCCCTTAAATGTGACACCGTCCAACTCTACTGGCCGAGTTTTCGAGAGACCTACATTTGAAAGTACACAATTCGGCTAAGCAGTTGAGATCGTCGACGCAAGAACATAGGGAAGAGAATAAAGTGAAATTGTAATACTTCAGTTATCAAGTTGGAAAAGTCCAAACAGTGCAAAGCAGACCTAACGCCATGTGCGCATACTGAACACTAGTTTTAGCGTTCTCCGAGAGGTATGAAATATCTTAGGACTGCCTCAAGAGAAGAATCCTTCGTCACTCAGTTGTAGAACCCCTTCGCTGCCAAACTCTCATGCCACCCGAAGGAAGAACGAGGGCTGGGACACTGTCAAGTTGCTCAAGCCTAGACAGGATAAATCCCGATGCAGAAGTCTGGTTCGAACCACGGACCTTACGTGTTATAATCACTGAGCCATCTCGCCATGCCTCAAGTAACCAAGTAGTTGAACCGTTGAGGAGGTAAACGAGTAACCAGGCTTCCTCAAGCAACCAACAGCTGCACCGAGACAACACGTTCTGTTGAGAAGAAATCCCAAACTTCAAAGTAGTCAGGTGGAGAGTAAAAATCTTGCCTCAGTTTGCCTCAGTGATCATGACAAACATTCGAATGAAATTAAGTTAAATACAGCTGCGGTGGGATTACCTCTAAACAAACCATTGGCTACCTTAAATCGTACTCGTTAAAATGGGTGGTAGACAGAAAGGATTCTTTTTTGAAAAAAAACGAGTATTCAAGATTGTGCGTACACATAGAGCAGGCTTCAAGCACGATTATGGAATAAAAGCAGTCAACCACCTCCGCTAACTAACTCACTGTCGGCAGATTTTAACGCCACGTGTCCGGAGTCATCGCGCGTTAACCTATTATGCCGTGTAGTAATTCACCTATTACCTTAGGTAGGAATAATCGGTAGCCAATCACTCCTAAATAAATGCTGGTATTGATATTCATCATTATGATGATTCATCACTATGATTCATGGAGCCGTTAGAGGTTGATAGCAGTGTCTGAGAGCCTAACAAGAAAGATCAACCTCAATAGCTACATAAGGGAGTGAGATGTCTATGGAGGTGATCCGATCTAGGACTCTAGAACTCTAGAACTCTTCCTTTTGAAGCATAAGCTGTTACAATATCGTGTAACACCACTCGTTTTAATTGTCAAACTGTACCCGCAACCTGTCTTGTCTTGTCGAAACCAATGTACTTGCAAATATTCATGGGATTTCATTAAGAATGTCCGCTTTCGCTGGTTAGGAGTGCAGTGTAGTTCGTTCTGTTCCCGCTCACAACCATCATTCGACTGTACCTGTGCGGCTGCGCCACAACCAATCTCCCGAATGGGACGACTCTGCCGATTTTTTCTCTTCTACCACGCCCATTCTGCACAAGCAATGTTGAAATTATGCTGGCAAAACCGATGCCTCTTAATCCACCCATTGCCAGCGTACTATCTCTACGTCAGTTAATCTGCCGACAATACTTAAGAAAACTGAACACACAAAATAAGGAAACAGTCTATGCTGACGGTTTTAAAAAAATAAAGATGACAAACATCTGATTGAAAAGCAAAGCTGAACAAAGTCTTGTCGGGACTTCTGCCGGCCTTGAAGAACAAGCACTAGAGATAGCATGACAGCTTAGTTCTAGGTGCTAACGTGAATTTATGAGCATCATTCAATGTGACTGGTTGAGGTGTGGTTACCTCTGTCCTGGGGCAGTTTCCATGGGCAACCTGTCGTAAACCTGGACATTTCTGTCACAATCACTCATTTGTTTATTACCTAAGAAACTGATTATGTCTAGAGTACGTGTGGCAATCCGAAAATTACACCCGTATTACCAGTTGAACGTTCGGTCAGATGGTATCTAGTATGGTGTAATTTTTAAAGTTTCCAGTTTAAAGAAACATGAACCAAACAGAATTTGAGGTTTAGTGTGTCCCCGCTTTACTGATGGTCCGTCCTTGCAAGTTTGGAGGCGATCACTTTGTTTTTTTTCAGCCAACTGATGGGAATTAGAAGCAAACAGATGACACAAAAATTCGTCTGTTTTAGCTACGGTATCATAAAGTGTGGCCTCACAACACACAAATCGTTGTGATCTAGCGCTGGGGATCTAGCTGTTACGTCACATCTGGACACGAAAGTTGGAACAATCGGATTTGGATTCGAGCCGGGAATCTCTGGATTAGTGGCTCTGGTTTACCCACGAATTCTTGTGTCCCTCCAGCACATTCTTTATCCGAAGGGCTTCAACCTCAGTGCCTTCATTCGAACAACTGCCCGACTGTTAGTATGATACATGTACGATGTGAAGCGTAATTCATGAGAGACCTAAAAATTAGAGCTTTGAGATAGTTCATATCAGTTGCAAAGCATTATCTAGAGTAAAATTGCACATTTGACATCACAATGACTGACAGTATTTTCGAAGGGTTTACAAACTTACCATTATTCATGGAATTGCATACATCTAAAAGTGGCACGCCCCGTCGACATCGATATGTATCGTTGGTTGTTTCGCAATCAGAAACGCCGGTATCGCATAATTGCACACCCAAGTTGGCTGCCTGGACACATTTCTTCACGTGACAGTCACTAAGCGACATGTAGTTGTACGTGGACTGTGGAGAAAAGATGCGAATTTTGAACTCAGGGTTAGAGGCATTAGGGTGATTTTCTATGATTAAGAACCACATTCCAGGTGAGACGACCTCGGCTTTGCTAGTGCGTTTCATCTACATAAACAAACGACTCAGCTACCAACTATTCTCCCCGTCTCCCGCATCAAAACGTGTGGTTTGCACACAGATAAGCTTTTGTGCATCGAAGCAAACAGAAAAATTCGAGGGCTCGCTGCAGACCATATCTAAGGGGTTGACAGAATGAAATGATAATAGTAAAGGACTGTTGTTTGGACTACTTCCAGTAGTCTATTGTAAGGAATATTTCCTTTCCAGAATCAGTATTACAGTGTCATATTTATCACGTCTATTGTGTGGGAAATCCGGTGGAATGACCAATGTGCCCATGTGCGTACATCTACACCGAGAACGAATGTCTCTACCTAGACAGGAACATAACCTTGTGGTTTGGTTAGATTCAAAATTGATGAGTCCCCTAATGGAAGAGCCGGAGTACCTTGATGTAACCAGATGTATCTGTACACTTTACAAGTTCTATATACAGTTTGCGCAAGTGAGAGATATCAGCTAACTTGGAGAAAATATACGGACGAGGACAACAGATTATTTGAATGGGGAATTCATTTTGGAATTCAAATCAGTCGGTTAGCATTGTACAACTGCTTCAGTCTTGTGTAGAATCACCACATGTATGCAATTTATGAAACCTCACGCTAGCAACCGAACGCTTCGTTTTCCGAGCTACCTGTGGCTCGTCAGTACTCAAACGGGACATGGTGACAGCACCCTTAACTCAAAAGGTTCACATTATTTGAAGTCGTATGAAAACGTAGACAAAAGCATCGCGATGAATTCACTTCACCAAAATATACAAGTAAAATAAGAATCCCCGACTACGGAAAACCTACGTAAGTCTTGGTTAGTTCTTCTAACTTTGAAGTAAATACCTCGTGAATCGATATTGTTTCGATGCAGGAGTTCATCACGAATATTGAACTGGTCAATGAGTTTTATAGTCAGTGAGTAGTTGTTAGATAGTCCGCCAGAGTTGCTGTTGGCTATTTTCGTGAGTGAGGTCACCTCATTAAGCTCCAAGCCTTGAGCAGTGAAAGACTGTTGTCGTTCTACAAAATGCTTTCACATAAAACCACATAAAAACCAGTAAATTGAAAACTAAATAATGGGACGTCTACTTCTCCAGTGACTTCACGTTTTGTGCGCGTAAACGTAAGCATAGCTCCTCAGAAGACAAGTTCTTCTTGAGGTGTACGTATTCATTAGAAACATTCCAGTTATAGAGACATTTCGCCAGACCGGCTGCATTTTGAGAAGGATCAAACAAGCAATCGATAAATGGGCTTAGTTGCGGTTACAATTTCCCCCAGTTGACGGATTTCTGTTGTTTATGCTCTGTCTGTTAAGTGCCGTACTCTTACTGCATGCCGAACCTGTTTCTACACACGGTGCTCACTCGGACGTAAGATTACCATAAGTGCTTGTTTGTTCGAGTGCTCCAGACATTTTCGTCTAATAAGCAGGAGTAGGGGAAAACACCAAACTGCCGCCCGAGAGAACTAGGCATGTTCCTTCACTCGGAATAGGCCGATTTGGTTATAGCCAGTAGTATCCAAGGTCAACCCATATGCGATGACACCTTCACGTGACTGTGACCCTATTAAATTGTCTTCGTGATAATTCCAACGCACAGCTCACTGCACGCAAGTAAGATGTACAATACTAAGTTTAAAAACAGGTGGCTGAGAAATAATGCAATTTCCCGCTTTTGGAGGAATCCTCTTAATAGATATAACTCTCGTAAGACAAGACCAAAAGAACTTTATGGGTATGATAGTCTTTGCAGCACACGCCAAGTTACTATTCGCCGTATGGTCGAATACAGATCCATCACTCCCACCAGAATCTGAAATTTTATGTGGTTGATCCAGTAGTTGTTTGACTAAGGAACTCAATACATCCCGTGGTGAAAGGCTATTTTTAAAGAAAGGGAAGGGAAAGGAAGAGGATTTCTGGAAGCATGGTATTCCACGGCCGATTCGATCAACCGATGAAGTGAGTTGGATTTGATTTACGCACCATTACGTGCAGACGACCAACATTTCAACCGGAATACTCAAGGAGAACCGAATATCGGATTCACAAAGAAACTATGAACACCTTGGAGTCAGATCAATAAAAGTCACAAGCCGGAAATCGGTTTGGTCAAGAACACAGGTCAAACCAGCATCGACCAGAGTACGAGGCCAGGGGATTCCAAGCTCAGAGGTCACGTGAGTATCGACAAATCAGAACACAGGATAAAAGAACAACCAATGGAACCACCCGACCGAACAACTAATCGTGATCGTAGGTCAGCCAGGCTAGCATCACACATGCAACACTACTCAACGCACAACCACCAACCCGCCGCTACTCTGTACTAACAACGCACTGAGGATATCACTTCACTTGTTGAGGAAACATTCGCAATCGAACTGCTCACCTAAGCGAACAAACCAACGACCATCTACGCTACCTAAGCTACAATCATTTTCCTCTGTTACATTATATACGTGTATTTATGTATAAAGTGCTTGCCCGGATAGTTTCCAAAACGGACATTCTCCTCAACATGGATGGATTCACATGCCGTACCGTATGTATTACATGCACGCAAAATTACCTTCCCTTCAAAACCGACTAAACTTGGGTGTTACTTAGTCAGCGTCACGTGTCTGGCCAACCATTTACGCCAATAAAATGCTGACAAAATCCAGCTGACGTATTCACATTTAACTGTGTTTGTCGTCCAAATCCCCTTTATTATGTGCCCACTAATTTCAACAGTCCCGCCTCCGCAAAACAAATGCGCTACGGGCTGGATGTCTGTGCATTAGTTCCCATAATCCAAGCGGTATGGACGGTGCCCGAATGTTAAAACCCTTATCTTCTAAGCGGAGAGTGCTGCCTGTTTGATCGTAGTGCAGCAACACGCGAAAACTTGCGGGCTCACTGTCGCCGCCGGCAATGAGGCAACTGTTGCTGTATGACGGTAAACCAACCGATCTGCGTAAACAAATCATCTAACCGGCAAAAACAGTCTCGTTCGACTCTTTGGGGCTCACTGAGCACATTTCCATGAGAATCTCACACCTGAAAACCTTAAAATGCCAGCATATGGAAAGATAGATCAAACGCTAAGAAATCAATAAACCATGCGCAGCTGTTTCATCGCATCAGGTGACTGAACAGCTCCGTGTTTTTACATGAAGGCAAATAGCTGTGCACAATTTTTGAATGACACAATAGTTGAACTTTTGCTGTTGATGTGCAATGTGGTCGTGGAAATGTTGATAACTGGAAAGCATGTGTGTACCATGCGCGTCAGCTAGAAAGCACAGTGGCACTTCGGACAGTCCTAGGTAGGAAAGAAACTAGATTGTCTGTGGTTTCTCTGTATCAGAAGATGACAAATCAGGGGTAGCGAAAACAATACGACTGTCGCACCTTATCTAAGGCATCAGGATGAGAGCACCTAGATGTCTGTTCCACGGGGAAGAGACAGGGAGGTCCCTTGTGCCAGGGGGCCACTCCTGAATAGAGATCTTGGAATAAGTTTCGTGAGATTATTCCAACAAAGGATGAGTAAAAAGCGCAGTGTTTTTCGGCGTTTCAGTACAGACAAGCTTAACTCACAAGAGAAACGAATCATTGACAATATCAATAAGTAGAAATATTGCGACGCACTCAAAAATAGGCAAGCACTATTTGTGAGCAGCTTGTGGAATCCAATGCCAACAGAGTCCTTTAGTGGAGAGACTGGAGCAAATATTTTTACATTTATTGACAGCACGAGACTTTGCACCGGGTTTTTGTCAAAATTGGCATTAGTTGCCATATTTTCTTCTACATGTTTATATTAGTCTGCTATAAACATCCAGGTACGCAGGTCAGTATACCCCAAAACTAGTGGATGGTTTGTGGACCTGCAGGCTTTAGTTGGAGGGATTTTTCTTCAAGCTGAACACCAAATATCAGATACAATCCTTGTTCAGTGCCACAGACAACGATTAGAGTGTGTGGCTGCGATGTCAACATGATTTATGGCTATGCGCCCTCCATATTAACCTTCTGATGATAAATTAACGAACCGGTTCAAACGGTCGGGCAGTTCAGCTAAGATCCGCCGACGGACACTGATCTTCGGTTTACATTTGTTCGAAAATACACATCATAAGGCCCATTTCTCACAGAAAATGTATTTATGAGTAGACGCTTCACTGAAGTCACCGTTATTAAAAATTCATTACTTTCAAACTTGGAAGAACTTCGTTATGGTGTTATGCTTCAAGTGAGTGAAAAGTCATGACGTCACAAAACAGCATCCATCAGCAACAAGGCTAAACCTGCATCACTGGAAAAAGCTGTACTCTGAGTGTACAGACTCCCCATGGGAAGTGCAAAAAAGTAAAGCACCATTCACTGGATTTACAAAACGGAACAATCCGCTGACGTTTTCCAAAAGCAAACGCAATGGCAAAATTTCAAGAACGGTGGTAAAAAACACTACAAATACTGATAAATTAGTGATAAGAGTACGTATTTTATAACATTGCCAGAAAACGTTTAAGACTTACTGTGTATGGGCAAAACCAGTCCGGCGTAACTGTTTCGCGGAGGGGAGAAATTGTCAGAGAATGTATCGAATTTTATTTGGATCCGAATACTCAGTTCATCAGAAAAAAGTGGCGTGTACAGGAGCATTCATCACGGTTAGTAACCATGGTAGTTTGAAAAATTATATTATAACTGAGAAGAACTAGTAACACTTTGAAAACAGCAGTGCAATCCAAAGTTCCTTATAATAACCCTCTTAAAGTTGTCTTACTGAGAAGGAATGCAAAGGCGAGTAGTGATTATGCAGCCCTTGTTAGGCCCCGACGTTTTTCGGTGTCTGTTGGTGTAAATTCGTAATACTAGGTCAGGCCTGCCTCCCTAAAAAGCCGGCTGCAGTTAAGTTTGCTACCTTAATTCAATCGCGCATATAGGACACTGAAATGGGGTAAGATGGCATGTATATGGCATTTATATCGTGTTCTCGCAATCTTTTATTCAGCGCAGTCACCAGAGTATCCTAATAGGCTTAGCGTCAGCACTAAAAACGTCAGTAAAGTCATAGTTAGGTGGTGAGTTAACGGAAGTTCTGGAAAAGCACTGGACTACACCCAGTTGTTCAAAAGGCTCATCTCCGAATAAACAACCTGTAGTAATTCCAATGACCTTTTAATAAGGGTGACGAACAGAGTATCACTTTCAGCAGCGGTTTTTTTAACGGATTGGGATGCCCATGTGTGCCAGCAGTAGAGGGGCGGGTAGGATTTGTGTCAAGAGTGATAAGCACAATACGGCATACAGATTTTTAGTTGTTGACCACTTACTTAGCTAAACACGACACAGTATACGACCAATCCAAATGAGCGGCTTATCAAGTAGGTAGTTGGGTTCAATTTCTAGCAGCTTGGCTTCATAACCTACGGACTAACGTAGCAAATAATGACACATTATGCAGAAAGAAAGATATGATTGTGTTACGCTGACTTTTGAGATTATTAGTCATTACACAAACGCGTTGCAGCTGATAGCACATTGAAACGTACGAGGTCAAAAGGTCGAATGTGATACAGATAAAGGTGGATTGGAGAATTCACCAAGTTGGGTTTACATCTACAGTTGTCAAGGCTTTAAGTTGTGACAACTTCGTTAGGTTCGGTCCCCCAAAAGTCCTACAAACTCCTGTAATCAGAACTTTTCTTTCAGTTTGATCGGCTCATTTACTTTGGCTAAAGTGTTCGATAGCAACATTGCGAAATCTTTGCAACCCCTTTTGCAGGCAACTTTTCAAACGACTTGTTGAATACTGTTCAATAGTGTCACTACGAACCAGACAAAGTTTATGACCAGTCCTACGCGTTCTACTGCGGTTGCTTTTATCTTCAGAGCCCCATATTGACAAGAAAGGACCACTTTGAGTGGACAGCTGAATTGCCATCACTTCTACGTCTCGTGAAAAACGCTGCACTGCGGCGTGCAATCAGTTGAACAGGCATTATGTTTGTATCCAATCATTCAATTTGCTTCGGTTTACGTAATGCAGACCTGTGTTCGACAAAACCGATGCATCTGTTTGCATATCCATACGCGAGACTCCAAAGGCTATTGCATTTGGTGTCTGTTTTAGAGATTTTGTTCTAATCGCAAATATTGGAACGTGAGCTCAAGCTATATTTCATCTGTGGTTCAGTAGACTAACATGCTAGGTTACTGCAATCTCATCCTTGTTTTCAAAACCTTTATTGAATTTCAACTATTCCGGACATCAGACTGCATCCTTGATCCGTTTTGTTTCGACTCTGGCGGAAACCACCTTGTGAAATCACACGAATCCGTGTGAATGTGTACTCAGTCAGTGCTGACCGGTGAAGAGCAATAAATCACATTCACATGTGCTCATTGTGTCTAGATCAATAAAGCTTGCCAGCATAAACAGAGTTTCTGCATATTGTTGGGTGATGCTGGTCAGATGAAATCGGAAGCTGAATCTTGACCAAGGGTAGAGAAGCATCAATAGAAAACACAAAGCACAAGCTAAAGTGTGCTACCTTGTTTGTTTCAAGGGTTTTATGTGACCTTACACCACGATGATCTTAGCTGTGAAACAATGATAATTGCGATTATCCATGAAATTGAATAAACTATTCAAATTTCACATAATCATATTTAGATTCCGCCCGTACTGACAGGTATACTGCACTTCAAAGGTGAAGAAATTGGTCTGGTTCTCGAAAGTCAGGCAAATGAGTTGAATACTTAGCTGTTTTGTTTAACACTTTGCCCGAAAATGTAGGGGTGTTGTTGAAACTGAGTAATCGGTACACTGGCTTGCAATTTCCTTCCTTCCTTCCCTCCTTCGAAATCATGTGTGAAGCATTTTCGTGCAAACGATCTTCAATCCTCTCCCCCGAAAACAACCGTTCTGCGCTAAGTTCCTACACTGTATTCATGGTGTATCACATAACAATATACAGTGCTATTTCCCTAACGACACTCTCCATATCAAAAGTAAATTTCGATGCTTTCTGCGTGTGGCCTGCAAATCTATCGAAAGGTTTATTCATTTCTTAAGCATTTTTACGTATCCTTCGCTTTGTAACGAGCGATATGATGTCCCCGGGTTATGCGTACTTGGCAGATTTTAGTGTGTTCCAGTGGACTGAGATCATCCTAACAGGCCCATCCTAATAAACCCATGGCAAATAAATCATCTCCTTGGGACAGGAAACGGGGAACTTTTCAATCACAAGCTTCCGCAATCGCATAGCCCCATTTGTTTTCTCACACAAACTAAAAAAGTGTGATAATTTCAAGGATAGACAACCCGGTTCCTGCTATTCTTACAGACCACAGCGCAAAAGTACGGATACAAAAAGGTGTGGCAATTTTCTTTGAAAATCTTGACCACTGGGTCAAAGGAAAACAGCGCCTCTGAATCTAACCCAACTCGGAATTTCGGCATGGTTTCTCACCACACGTGTTTTCAGAGTCCTCCCTAGATTTGCGCAAACGCCAAAGGTGTCCAAAAAGAAGTTAAACTCAAATACATTGTCTCCAGTTAAGGTCAACAAGGTCGAATGTGCGAACGCTTTGAGTACAACATGAACTTAGCTACTGGAAGGTACTATAATACGCATGCTCCACTTCCAGAAAGCAATGAGCATCCCAAGGTGTTTTAACGGATACTTTTGACGTTTGTTGCCGGAATCAAGCGTGTACCTGAACGGACGGTAACACACCAATATTCATGCCCTCATTCGAACAACAAGCAAACATTATCGCACCCAATGTTATCTCACCTGAACATGTTTGTGTGTCCACGTAATCGGCGTCAGCGCACATGTAACCGGGTGACTGATCAATACACGCACTGCTCTGACACAATTGTAGTCCACGGTTTCGAGCCTCACTGCATTCATTTGTATCGGCTGGAATGCAAGTGATGTCAAAGAAGAGACGAGTATAAAGGTTAGTGAATACGCACAGAAATGCAATCAAGGTCAGAACACTTTCAAATTGAACTGATTACGGGGAGCTTGAACTGTTATTAAACGGTGATTGACGAATTGGCCAATATACTATTCAACATTCCGTTTGGATTAAATGAACGGTTTTGTAAAAAAGGCGCATGCATACGGTGCATCCAGTCAGACATACTCCGGCCACTAAATTATAATACAAAACAATATATCCTAATCAAAACGCGGGTTCAGATCATCCCAGCGATCTGTCAGATATTCAGTGCCGGCTATTCGCAAAAAGAATGAACCGAGTGTGCAATACTTCTCGGTTCTTTCGGAACTGATTGATTTTCATTAGGAGATTAGACTTCCAAAACCTCCTCATACTGTGAGCAAATAACTAACTTGGAGAAGTAAAAGCAATGCTAAAATAACTCAGTTGGAAGGTTTGTGCTTGAGCATTTGCTACGTTATGGTTTTGCGGTCGAACAACGTGACACAGGAGCAAGCAAGGGAGTTTTGATCGAACAAACCCGAGCAGACTAAGCTTCAGTTGTGTTCGTCGACCGCATCTCGGTGTTTTGGGAAGGACATCAAGACAGAACTGACAGAGAGCCGGAACAACAGGATTATAAGTCAGTAGTTTATGCACTTTTATCTTTGGTGAATAGGCTCTCGCAAAATCGCGAGATAAATCTTGCTTATACTGAAGTCACCACCATTACATACCACGCCGATCGATGCAAATGACTGACACTGTCTTCAAGTCAAATGGCTGTTTTGCAGACGTGGAGAAAAGGTGCTCCATCGAATACCTGGAGCACAGTTGGCAGGAATTCGGAACATCCTTATACTTTGAGAGAAGTTTAGTTACAAGAAGTTCCAACATCAAGCGAGCTTACTGCTGGAATACAACCAACAACCAGCCTTTCATTTCACTTTACTGAATAAGCTGCAGAGAAGACTGCCTTACCCATTTTCTTTACTAACAAGTTGTTTTCCACCTCCTGTCTTTTAACCAACACTGATATTCACTTTCACATTTTTCAATACTTTGAAACTTGTTGCTACAATTTGTTCATTGAGATTATTTTCATGAATAAACTGCGTCATTGATTCCCTTTTACGGGAGGAAAATGATGGGTTTCAAACAAGAGCTGCAAGTGTACTATGCTGGCGATCAACTCTTGATATAGTACAAACTCAAAGCTGAAAGTTGATACTGTCCATGGGATACAGCAAGCGTTTGAGAGTGTAACTTGCTACCATACACTAGACTAATATGAAGGAACTCTTTCATGGGAATTCTTAGATGACTCTGGTGACGAATTTGTAAGCAAGGTTCGGTGGCTTCGAGATGTATGGTACAAAGTCTGTTGATTCGTCCTTTTTTGGAAGAAGGAGAACATTGAAAGTACTTTGGGGCAGGCAGAAAGTCAGTATCCCATATGGATCGAAGAGCAACTAATGCCCAGCTTTAGCGAGGCAGGCAGTATCAAGTCTGTTTGAGGATGGACACAACTGAATGATCAACAAATAAATTGACTCCCACAGTTTGGAGTAACAAAATATCCGAGTCAAAAAACCACATTCTGTATCTGAGTTTGAAATAAACCTCGAAAAACATTTTAGAATGTACATCCGATGAATTATCCTAGAACCGACAAAAACCCTATTGTACCTAGTGGCAGACTGCCGCATTGTCCAGTTCTCCACGTACCAGATAATCCTACAGGCACCAAATATAGATAAATAAACTATAGTTCATCAAGAATAACATTAGTTCCATACATCTTCCGTCTTGGGAAGGGTAAATAGTCCTCTCTCAACCACAAACGCATATAACATGGTACCTCTCTACCACACCACGAAAAGCGAAACGAAGAGAATTTGCAACTCAGGTGTACATAAGCTATCGTACAATTTTTTGACGCCCACCTGGGCGTTACCTTGTCCAGACAAATGTATCGAGCAACGTGGTACCTGATGTGAACCAACTGCGCTTCGCACATGGGAAAACACGACTGAGTCACAGAATGGGCGATAATCATGCAAGCTGTATCCTTCAAGTCTGAAGCACAGAGGTTCAAACGTAGTGGAGCGACAATGGGAAGTAAAGTGTGAAGGACAAAACGAATAGCAGAAGGCAAACGCATTGGACTTACGTTTTGATTTTACTGTGAATAGGTGGACAGTCTCCCTAATGGTCGCGAAACACCTGCAGGAGGGAAAAGTTTTGGAACATTTGGAACACTGTTAGCATTCAAGTGTTTTGTAGATAAGCTCCCTTAGATGGATCATATATAATCAGCCATGCTCCAATGATCTATGTACGTCCATCTAATCACTGAGTTGATGATAAGATGTCTGAAAAAAATAAACGCCGAAAGCGAGCAAACTTAGTAATGGAGGAACATATGATTCCGAAATGTTGAGATCGTTTTTACAAATGGCAGGTGAACACACACATAAACACTCCGGAATACTCATCGAGTCCTTACCAAGCTAATAGTGTTTTGTCCTACTACTGTGCCGGTGGATACTAGTAGTATGCTTTCTCGTAAATCCGCTTTGCGTCTCTTGAAAAGTGAGACCTATTGCGGAATTTATGGAGTCGCTTTGTGGCATTTGCTTGCATTTGAGTAACA